GAGGCAGAGGTAGGCACATTCCAGGTTACTCATAACCCACACACTGATGCATAATCGAAAAGCTAATTTATTTTATGTCCCATGCTGGGGACAAAATTTGACCCTTGGGGCCTCTTGCCCAGAGTGTCTACTGCAGACCTCACAGTCCCTGGATAGCTGACATGGTGAACAAGCACTTAGAACAAAGGGTACTGGGTATACTTAGATTTTATTTATAAGATGACAAAGCCTAGAACAGTGTAGCATTCTGGAGAGGGTACCAGCTTAGAAGTCACAAAGACCTGAATGAAGAACCCAAACCTGATTGTAGTTAGCTGTGAAAACTTGGGCACATTTCTTGACTTCTCTTGAGTCTTTAGCTCTAAAATGTCAATAGTGGTATTTTGCAAATAAGGCTATTGTGAAAAGTTAAGGAGATCAGGTAGGAGGTGAAACTCACTGAGAGGGTGTCTGCTTAGCATTCATGAAGCTGTAGATTCTATCCCTAACATGGAATGCACGTGTGTGAAAGTGCGGGGGGTATGTGTGCGGGGGCATGAGTGCATGCGTGCGCGCGCACACACACACCTACATACAGGGAAAGCTACTGGCTCATAGTATATATGCTATTTCTGTTGGTTGTTTTCTACTGTCATAAATGAACACAGCCTCTGAAAAAAAAAATCCACCTTCTTAGATACTGTAATAGACATGTCTTCCAGAAACTGGCGTTCTTTTGCTTAGACGAAACTGGGCAAACATGGATGGATTCTTCCTCTCTGAAGCCCTTTTTGAAAAACCAGTTACTCCAAAGCCTCATTACCTCATGTCAGAGATGTCACACCAAATGGGCTAGAAAATCTTCAGCCACTGATTGTACTCAGAGAGACACATCAGTTCTATCAGCAATATACCTACATCTGTCTGCCATAATGAGTGGCTACTTTTTTAAGTGGCTGATCTTGTCCACCATGTTCTTATTTTTCTCCTGGTTTCAATTTCTCAGGGTGACCTTTTTCTTCCCTTCTCCCCAGAGTCTGGAACCCACAGCTCTCTATGTATTGACCACCTATGAATGGAATCAACTAGATCTCTCTGTTTTATTGCTTCAAGCTTTCCGTTTCAGAATAAGATCTGCTTGTATCTCAAATAGGAAAGAAACTGTAGCCCTTTGATTTGGGAGCAAGTGGGGTTGGGCAGTGAGTCTGAGCCAAGGTTTGTGAACCTCTGTTCTGGGAAGAGGGCTGCCAGCTTTCCTTCCTGATTTTTCCCTGTTTAAGTAATGCGTAGAAGCCTCAGTCTGAGGAGATAATTAGTAGAAAATACAACTGGCAGCCATTACTGGCTCTGAGTCACTTGCACACTCCAGCAGATGTTACCATGGTTTCAAGGCTGAATCTTCCTCCTCTCAGCTCCCCCTGCTCTCTCCTTAGTTAATTTGTCACTCTGCTTCACAGACTCCTCCACAGTCTGCCTCCACAGACTGGTGCAGACTTAACCCTATATTGAAGCCGGCTTTTTTTGTTGTTGTTTTTCTCTCAAATAACATTTAATGCCTTTTTTTCTTGAAGAAAATACTACATACCAAAACAATATAGCAGAATATAAACAGAAGAAAATGAAAGTTAGACATAAACTGATATCCCAAAACACTGAAAATTTTATGATGTTCTCTGTCCCATTTTTTGTGATGCATATTGCATGGTTGAGATCATACATTAAAGTCTTAAAGTGTCTTTTACTTTGAACACCAGAAGACTTACCCTCATCTTTTTCTTCTTGGATCTGATGGCCTTTAGGCATTGCTTTGGGCAAATTCAGCCATGTACACAGGCTCACTTATCATAATTGTTGCTGTTATTGTCTGCTGGAATGCATGGAACTTTTACAAGCATTTGCCTCTCATATCAGCTATTTACGCTGGCTCTTCATTGGGATATGAACTCTGGTTTTCTTCATTCCTACTTCCCAACTGCTATAGCCACTGGTCACAGGAAAGGCTATGAAAGGAAAGCCAGGCACAGGGAGATGGGAGATCAAGAAATGAAAGATGGAGACCAGGCAGAGATACACATTAGAGTTTATTTGTCAGAGCTGACAAATAAAGGCACATCTCTCCATAGATGGAGAGAGAGGCAAAACAGGCTTGGGGGTTGGGACTTTTATGGGGCAGGCTCAGGGATTAGAGCCCAATCTGGAAGGTCCTAAAGGAGGCAGTTAAGGGTGAGGTTGGTATGAGGGAGTGGTGATACATCCTTGGGTGGGAAAGCAAAATTTTTCTTAAAATGGCGGCTGACACTTAAGATGGCTGTCCGGATGCTAAGCAAGGATCTTACAGGCACTTCCCAATGAAACACCAGAAGTAAAAGAGTCTCCTGGACATAAACATGAGGTCATACTTTCATTGTAAAACCCCAACCCTCATCTCTTTCCTGACTAGAAAATCAATACATGGGGGCTGGGGATGTGGCTCAAGCGGTAGCGCGCTCGCCTGGCATGCGTGCGGCCCGGGTTCGATCCTCAGCAGCACCACATACCAACAAAGATGTTGTGTCTGCCGAGAACTAAGAAAAAATAAATAAATGTTAAAATTCTCTCTAAAAAAAAAAAATCAATACATGGGCAAGATATATCTCAGATGTGGGAAGCAATGATCCCCTCAGCACTGGTTACATTCTTCACAGTTACTCACTCCCAGTCCAAAACAAGGAGTGTCCAAGATATATCCTGAAGTCACAGCAGTGCAACATAAGGGAGCTCTTTGTTATGTCTGATTTGTGGATGGATACATTCTCAAAAATATCTGACACCCTTATTTGGCCATTAGGCATCTAAGTCCAGCAAAGACTATATAAGTCCAGCAAAGACTATATTCAGAGATTAAATTCTAGGCTGGGGAGTGTGGCTCAGTGGTAGAGCATCTGCCTGGTTGCCTAAGGCCCTGGGTTTGATTCTTGGTGCTGAAAAATGAATAAACAACAACCAAAAAGAAAACCAAAACACTTAACTCTGAACCAGGGTAACATGTATTCTGGCTGGCAGTGGCAAGCTGGGACAGCTATCTCATGGAAGAGAGGAAAAGTTGACATTATGCACAAATTAATGGTAAATGAAGGCTGGTTGTTGGTAAAGGAAGAAAAAACAAGAGTTACAAGTTCAAAAATCATTCATCTTAAATTCACTCTATGTTTTATGTGCTTCACACTCATTGTTTTATGTGCTTTACAAATAGGAATTTGTGCAGGTCATGGTGGCTACACCTGTAATCCCAGCAATTTGAGAGGCTGAGGAAGGAGGCTTGCAAGGTTGAGGCCAGCCTCAGAAACTTAGCAAGACCCTAAGCCACTTAGTGAGACCCTGTCTCAAAATAAAAAATAAAAAGTGCTGGGGATGTAGCTCAGTGGGTTCAATCTCCAGTACCTAAAGCAAAACAAACAAACAAACAAATGAAAACCACCCAAATCGGAACTTGTTTAATTCTCTTAACACTCTGTAAGTACTATTATCAACAACCCCATTTCACAGATGATGAAACAGAGCCAGATAAGTGAGGTAACTTCCTCAAGGTCACAGACATTGTAGACAAAAAAGCAGGGATTTGAAATCCAGCAATCCAGCTCCAGAGTTCATGCTTTTAACCACTTCATTATGATGCACCATTATAGGAACTTTGGAAAAATACAGAAAAACACAACAACCTGTGTAGACTAATACCACTTGTCACATTTTGCTGTACCCTATAGACTGTCTGCCATTTAGATGCATAGATTATATAGTACATGATATATACTCTTTAAAATGCAATCACATTTTGTATCTTGGTCTGTAACCTTCCTTAAGGCCATTTCCCCTATGTGTACACACAGTCTTACAATCATCATTTTAAATATGCATAATATCACTTTGTGTTGTTCAAACATTATTTATTTAAACGGTAAACTACTGAGGGTATTTAGCATTTAGACTGCTTCCAACGTTTCTCCGTGACAGAGTATTGCAGAGGGATGGGTGATAGGCCTTTTTTAAAACCACCTTTTGAACTCAATGAGCTACAGCTGCAAAATAAAATTTAAAAAAAGAAAAATACCTCGCCTAGCATGCGTGAGGTGCTGGGTTCGTTCCTCAGCACCACATAAAGTAAAAAATAAAGACATTGTATCCACCTATAACTAAAAATAAACAAATGTTAAAAAAAAAAAAAGAAGAAAGAAAGAAAGAAAAATGTCCAGGGAGGGCAGGTCCCACGTAAGGGAGGACGGTGGCGGAAGTGGGTGGCCACCATAACTCTTCCTGCTTTCCCTTTGTCTAGCGACCCCACGGGATTGGCCAGAGCTGGCGCCGAGGGACTGCAGAAGCCGGAGGTTCTCACTGCGCACGCGTGGAGGAAGTAGTGGGGATGCGGGGGAAGTGGTGCAAATAAGGGCGTGTTGAAGAAGTAACAAAAAGCGCAGAGGTGGGCTTTCCCGCCCCAACACCACCTTTGTCTCCGCCCCCTCAACACGGCACCCAGCTTCTTATTGGTCAATCATCTTTAGCCCTTTTGGTCCTAGAGCTAAAGGACTGGGTCTGTCCCAAGCTATGCCTGCTTCCGGAGCCGCGATTAAAATGGTCGACTATGATGCCGTTTACAGGCATTGTTTAAGACATACCCATGGGGCCTGAAGGGGCTTTTTACGGCTACCGGAGCAGTTGAGAGTTCAACGGCAAGTTTCGAAGATGCCGCCCAAAGGAAAAAGTGGAAAAGGGGGGAAAGGTAGAGCATCCAAAGTAACCAGGGAGAATGGGGATGGGTGAGGAGAGGTGAATGAACGGACAAGCGATTCTCAGGTCCAAGACGGAGGCAGCAAGTGGCCCCACAGAGCTGCCATAGATGATGTCAGGACTTCCTCCGGCGAGGCTTGGAAAGGATAAGTGGGCGACCGGGTATTACTTGTGTAAACACTTTGGAATATAGTGCAGGGACCGTTCTGGTGGGTAGTAGAAGCTGGTAGGAACGGCTCCTCAGAAGCAATGACTTGGGGTTGCTATTTCAAGGGATTATTACAGCTGTAAAGTGTAATCTCATCAAAAGCCACCAGTTAAAGAAAACTCGTATAGATAGTCCTAAGATTCTCTTAAGTGCTTAGAGAATGACATGCCCACCATGGAGGAAGGACTCATTCTTCAATCGAACACACATATGTTAAGCACAGTGGGAGGATATAAAAATAAGGTACACATTGCTACTCTTAAGGGAAGATAGAAGTATAGTAACCATAATGTACCATACTACATGCAGTACTTAGATTTGTGTCAGATATTGTGGAAACTAACAGGGAAGGGAAGACTTCCTGGAGTTGAGTTTGGCAGGCCAAGATGGGCAATAGATAGGGCAAAGCATTCTCGACAGCAGGAATAGCAGAGGTGAAAAACAGTATGATTTGTGCAGTGTGGTTTTGCTGGAGAAAAAAATCAAGACAGAATGGCAATTAGTTTCTCACTGAAGACAAACAAAAACAAATCATGGAGAGTGCTGTATATGATGTTAAGAAGGTGGGTTAAGGGTCAGGAAGACCCATAAGGAGACTGTTCTGGTACTCCAGCTCAGAGATGGTGGTGGCTTGAACTAAGGTATTGGCTGTGGGAAATCAAAAGAGAAAGTAGTAGAATGATGTCACAGAGGCCCAAGAGACTAGAATGTTTTAAAGAAAGATGATGTGGTCTGTTAAGCACAATAGAGAGACCAAATAAGATGAAAACAATACTATTTTACACTTGGAAATTAAAGGTGACCTTAGGAAAGAGTGGTTTCAGTGAAGTGGCAGAAGCCATATTGTAGTACTAGAAGACTGACAGGGAATTGATTAGTTGGCTACAACCAATATGGACTTCTGTCGAAAGTTTTAATTAAAAAAGCATAAAAATGGGATGGGAGATAGAGGAGGATAAAACATTAGGAGACAGTTTTATTTTGTTTGTTTCATCAGAAGAGTGAAAATATGAGAGTGAGGCTGAAGTGAAGGATCCAGTAGGGTGAAAGGTCAAAGTACAGAAGAATGAAATTTCAGAAAAACTGGAGCCTATGACTGAGGTGGAGCTGCTGACCTTTGCATAGAAGTGGCACTGCAGGTTTGAGGTCTAGAGAAAGAGACAGAATGGGTTTGGTTGTAAAAAATTGGAGCCAGGGAGGGGAAAGGCATAAAATTAGGGAGATTATGCTTTCAATTCTTTAATAAAGTGGAAGGCAAGAGTATTTTAAGACTGAGGTGGGCAGGGTTTCATTATGGGTCTTGAAAAGAGTGACAAAAGTTTGGAATGTGGTATTGGGAGTGGAAATGAAACACAAATAGAAGGATTGCCCTCAGGGCTGGGAGCCTGGCAGATTGAAGGCCATGTATTTGGAGAAAACACAGTCTACACACTCAAATTTTACCTAGTGCCTTGCAACTGGCACAATATTTGATCAAAAAAAGCCTGGTGTAGCCTTGAGCCAGCGTTGAGGTTTTGTTGGACAATTTTAGTAGGATAGCAGCTGGGTACAGTGGTATGCCCTGTCATCCTAGCTACGTGGGAGACTGAAGCAGGAGGATCATTAGTTTGAGGCCAGCTTCAGCAAGTTAATGACGCCTATCTCAAAATATATAAAGGGCCAGAGATTGTAACTCAGTTGTAGAGCACACTTGGGTTCAATTCCCAGTAGAAATAAATAAGATAGTAGGATAGCAACACATGGTAAATAAGGGTGCCACTGGAATGCAGTTCAAGCATAGGGGTTCAGCCTGGGAAGAGGAGAAGTCTGATAGTCTAGGGTAATTTAGCAAGATAAGGGAACTCAGTGGTAGGGGTGGGAGTAGGGCAATGGTGGTACTCTGTGAAGTCAAGGAGCTGGTGTTGTGAGAATCGGGTATAAGAAACCTTGAAAGATTAGATTGTAAACATAGACTGAACTACTAGTTGTGAGTGATGCAGTTTTGTCATGTGCCTCTGGGACAGGTGTCCTGAGTAGAGAGCACGGGCATTCAGGAGGAAAATTCAGAACTATGAGATTAGGTTGTTGGATGAAATTCCTCAATTTAAATGGTGAAATCACCCAAGTTGACAGCAGGACTGAGAGTGGAGAGAAAGCCCAAGTTGAGGCCAGAGTCCTTAGTAAATGAAAGGGAGTGAGTTGGCAGTTAGAAGATGATAGCATCCAGGAGAGGAGAGCATGGGATAACTGGAAGGTATCAGCATTCAAGAGTGAATACAGCTGGGTGTGGTAGCACATCCCTGTAATTCCAGTGACTCCAGGGGCTGAGGCAAGAGGAACTTAGCAGGACCCTGTCTCAAAAAATACAAAGGGCTGGGGATTGTAGCTCAGTGGTTAAGCACCCTTGGGTACCCCCCCCCCAAAAAAAGTGAATACATAGCAAATTAAGAGTTTGGCCTAGTAAAATTCTTAGTAATAACATTTTCTTAGACTTCTGGTAGTCAGTATTTTGATTTTCAGTTTAATTAAATATTTACTGAACACTAGTAGTGTGTCAGATACTATGCTAGGCATTGGAGACACAGGTTGAATATCCCTTGTCCAAAATATTTGGGACCAGAAGTGTTTTAAATTTTGGAGTTTTGTGGATTTGGGAATGTTTGCATAGACTTGACCAGTTGAACATTCTTAATCTGGAAATATGAAAACTGAAATGCTCCAAAATCTGAAATTTTGTGTTAAGTATTCACAAAGTTTCAGATTTCAGGGAATTCTGGATTTTTGGATAAGGGATGCTCAACCTGTACTAATACAAGTAAGATGTAGTTTCCTGCTCAAAACTTTTTGATAGCTCAGAATTTGGAATTTATTCTAAAATATGAAGCCGAAAGTGTAGCTCAGGGGCAGAGCACTTGCCTAACATGCCCAGGGTCCTGGGTTTGATCCCCAGCATCACACACAAAAAATCCAAATTCCTTAATGGGGCCCAAATGCTCTCATGTCTTGATATTAAGCCCTCTCCCCTAGGCTGGCCCATCTGACAGTGCTCCTGCCTCAAATTGACCTCATCTGTACAATTTCCTACATATGCTGTTTCTCCCATCTTGGAATGTCCCTATCTCCTTTCTTCAGCTAGTCAACTCCTGCTCATCCAGGAAGTCTTCCCTGCCTGATTAAAATGTCCTCTTAAAATGTGTTTCCACAACCTCTTGTCCATAATTTTCTCTGTGCCTGCTGCATTCTCCTGAAATGATCTGTCTTCCTCACTAGAATGTGAATTCCTATGGATTATTCATCTTTGTACCCCCAACCTGGAACTTAGTAGTTTCTTAGGAAATGTTTATTAACTGAACACTTAATCCAGCTATAGTTATTGGGAACATCAGCCTCTCAGTAAAATATAAAGTGCTGCCAGTGGTCATTAATCTAAATATCAATGATTTTTTCATAGGGAGACATCAATAGGCAGTGTAATAGACTATAGGAATTTAAACATGAATATATTATTTAGCCAAATATATTCTTGGAAATTTTACTTATTGGAATTGTGAGTGCTCAATCTATATAGTTGCAGTACATATGAGAAATCTTACAAGAGTTTAGGGGTTTGTCCTTAGAAGGCAGGATTGGAAATTGAGTCCAGAAAATCTGGACCAGGATTCTGAAGCTTTCATTCATCCATTAGCACATTCATTCATGTATCCATTCTGATGTAATGTTTACGAAGGGCATGAATTTCCTTTGTTTTAAGAAAGGTGAGTCACAGATTTCATTTAGTTTGATATAGTAAAGTTTCTGGCAGAGTTCCTTTTTTGTAGTTTCATGCTATGATGGAAGTATCAACTTGTCTTGTGTGCTGAAGCTTTCTATGAATACCAAGGAACAGTTTAAAAGAGTACCTATCATCTCTTCTCTAAAGGGGGAGCAGCCTCTGGGAGTGACAGTGCTGACAAGAAGGCTCAGGGACCCAAAGGTGGTGGCAATGCAGTAAAGGTGAGTTGATTCACTAGTTCCCTTTTTCCATGTTCAGCATTAGTCACACACACACACACAAACACACACGATGCTTAACTCATTCTTAAAGGCTAACCTAACACTGACATAAAACCAAGGTGATGCAGAACTGGAAAATAAGGATCAATCTTGCTTATAAAAAATAATTCCTTTTAGGGGCTGGGGTTATGGCTCAATTGGTAGAGCACTTACCTAGCACATGTGGGGCACTTGGTTCGATGCTCAGCACACATTAAAAAAAAATGTGTCCATCTACTATAAAAATATTTTTAAAAATTCCTTTTAAATATTTTCTCAAATGTTTTCTCAGACATCTAGAATTTCTTCCTGCTTTTATTTTTTATTTATTTGTTTATTTTATAGTGGCACTGGAATTTGAACTGAAGAATGCTCTACCACTGAGCTGCATCACCTGCCCTTTTTAAAAATTTTGTTATGAGATAGGATCTTGCTAAGTTACCCAGGCTGATTTCAAATTTGTAATCCTCCCGTATGAGCATTTATGATCCTTCTGTGTCCGCTTCCTGAGTCACTGGGATTACAGGTGTGTACCACCTCTCAGGCTCCTTCATACTTTACTATTATTCCTTAAAACATTGTTAGATATTCTCAATGAAAGAGGGCAAAAGGTACAGATGTTATTTCTCACAACTACATGTGAATCTACAATTATCTTTAAAAACCCAATTAAAAAATCTTAACCTGAATCTACTCCTTTCCATATACCTCATGTATAGCCACACTGGACTTAATTTTTCTGGAGAGGACAGAATGCCTCTTTAAAGCCATCAGTGGAGAGTCTCTTGGGTTAAGTGCTTATAAAAGTCAGCATTTAAGATGAAAATTGCATATAGCCAAAATTAGCCTAGAATATCCTTTATGAAGAATGTCATACTGGAACCTAACATATCAACTCTCATTAGCCCAATTGCTGGCTCATAAAAGTGACCACTTCTTCAGGTGAACATCAAATGAAGTACCTGAAGATGAACATTCCTTATGAAGATCACATAGTATGTAACCTTTTGGGATTTTCACTCAGCATAATTCTCTGGGGATTTCATTTGAGAAAAGAAATATTTTATGAAACTGAGAGCTCAGATAAAAGCTAAAAGCCACCTCAGCTAAATAAACAAGTAAGGGTGTAGGTCTCATTAGAAAGCTCCCCACCTACTGGGGAGCTATAAGCCAGGGCCTTGACCATAAATATGGTAATAGGAGACCGTCAGAAAATATTACATGAAGTACTTAACCTAGTCCCAGAGGAGCATCTGCATGAGAAAATTTAATCTAGAAACAGAACTGTACTACCGTGTGCTATGTAACAAGGCAGTTCCCAAGTTAGGATTTGGGAGTCTGTAATTTGATTCATTTATTCAATGAGGAGATAGATGATTGCTTTTCTGCAGTTGTCCTCCATTCCTGTATGACCATCCAACCATGAAAAGTGGGGATCCTGGTGTTCAAAGAAATTTTTCCTAAAACATGGACCCTAAATACAACCTAGGTGCTTCATATGCTGTTCAGCTGAAGAATTGGTCACTTTTACAACCCAAGAGTTGGGCTAATGAGAGTTAACTGTTAGTCTCCAGTATGACATCTTCATAAAGGATATTCTAGGCTAATTTTGGCTATATGCAATTTGGAAGTTGCCTCAAATAGCAACTTTTATGACCACCTAACCAAAGAGATACCATAGAGGTATTGCTGGTGGATTTAAAGAAACACCATGCCCTCTATAGAAAAATTAATTCCAGAATGGCTATGTACAAGGTATATGGAAAGGAGTGATATGTAATTTGGTAGTAAAGTAGATTTGGGTTAAGTTTTTTATTTTTAAGATAATTGTTGATGCACTTGTGAGAAATAATATCTTACCTTACACCCTCTTTTCCCCAATAGTAACATCTTACAAAATTAGAGTACAGTAGTACACCCAGGACATTGACATTGATACATTCAAAGAATAGAACGGTATCATCACCCCAAGAACCTCTCCTGTTGCACATTGATAACTACATCCATTTCCTTCCTGCCCCTTCCTCTACCCACTTCTTAACTCTTGGAAACAACTAATTTGTTTTCCATTTGTGTGATTTGATAATTTTCAAGAATATTAAATGTAACTTTATGAGATTTTTTTTTCACTTAGCATAGTTGTCTAGAGATTTCATTCAAACTGTTGTGTATTCCATGATGTAAAAGTGCCATAGTATGTTTAACCACTAACCTGTTGAAGGACAGCTGAATTGTTTCCAGTGTTTTCAAAGGCCTCAGCAGGGAAGAGACCCTGGGACACTCTAGCTTTTAGGGTCTCTGCTCCTTCCATATCCTCTGATTGTTTCAGTTTCCACCCTTGTGTTCACACCCTACCCTTGTATACAAGCTTTATAGATTCTGAGACCCACCTCCTGACCACAGCTTCCTTCCTTCCCTTCCTGTTTTGTTCTCCTCCCAGATTCCAGGCCCTCAAGCCTGCTCTGCTCTCCCCACTTTCTCTCAAGTTTCATATTTCTTCTCCTGTCCTATTTCCTATGAACTGCAAATTGAATCTAAGAGCTTGATCCATGGATTAAGGAGCCCTGACATTTTTCCTTTTGGTCATCCTCATTGCATCCACCTCCAAATTACCCAGCTGAGGATTAATCCAATGATCTACTTTCTTTGTACTTAAACCCAGAATTGCTGGGCCCTACTGGAGAGTCCCATAGGATATTGAGGATTGGGGCCACTAGTACCAGTCATCTAATCTTATCTAGGCCCTAGGCCTTGCTACTCACCAATCTTTTACTACTCACTGCAAGCTGTCTACCACTCTGCTCCAGCCACTCAGCAGATAACTTCATCCAGTGGTTCCCAACCCTGGGTTTGCATCCAATTCACCTGAAGAGCCTAGAGGCTCACTCCAGACAGACTACATCAGAATCTCTGGAGTGGGGCCTAGACCTTGATATCTTTCTTAGATGCTCTTGAGGTGATTTGAATATGCTACCAGAGTTAAGAAATGCTGGTCTACTCTCATAGGTTGGTGTGAGGATTTAATGAGATAATTTAAGTAAAGCACTTAGCACGGGTGTCTAGCAAACATTAAGTACCTGATAATTTTTAAGTAGGTTTATTATTTTCACAATAATTATTTGGTAATTAGTTTAATTTAATTAAATTATTGATTTGTTAAATTTAATAATGTATCAGTGACTTAATGATATTTTAATATTTTCACAAGGATTCAGGAACTCCTTGGCTTTCAGCCCTCATCAACAAAGTTATCTTTGCCCAAATTGCCCTTCTCTCTCCTCAACCTTTTTCCTTTAAAGCTAATTTTTCTTTTTTTTCTTTCTTTTCTTCATACTAGGGATTGAACCCAGGGGCACTTAACCACTGAACCATATCCCCAGTTCATTTTATTTTATTTTATTTTATTGAGACAGGGTCTTGCTAAGTTGCTCAGGCTGGCTTTGGACTTGCAATCCTCCTGCCTCAGTCTTCCAAGCCACTGGGGTTACAGGCATGTGCCACAGCACCCGGCTAAAGCTATTATTTCAAAGTGTTTTGAAGACCAGGCCTTGCGCCTTCATTTATTTGTACCCTCCTGTCTTTGTTCTGTCTCCACCCTTTAACTCTTTACTGGATCCTTCCCTTGATTCTGAAAGTATGCTCAGGAATCTTGAAAATATATACATATTCAATTTTTTTTTTTCTCTAACTAGAGCCCTTTCTTCTTTGTGAACTAAATTAGTTGAAAGTGCCCAACATGATGGTTTACCTTCCCACTTCATATTGCCTCCTTGGTCAACCTGCTATATCTGGGCTTCTGCACCTCTGAAACTCCTTTTGCTAAGGACATTGATCAGTCATTGCTGTTTGTGTGGGTTGCTAGAATTCAAACCCAGGGCTTCATGCATACTAGGCAAGTACTCTGCCACTGAGCTACATGCCCAGTCCCATCCATTGCTAAATTTATTATATTTCTTTCATAATATCTATAGCAATTAATTAACCCTATTGATCATTTCCTCCTTGAAACTTTTTCCTATGTTGTTTTTGTCTGTTTGTTTTGCAATGCTGGGGATGGAACCTATGGCCGTAGGTATGCTGGGCAAGTACTACCATTAAGCTATACCCTCACCTCTTCTTTTTTTCTTACTTGGTTTCTAACACACTTTTCTCTCCTACCTACTTTGCCTTTCCTTTTTGTTAGGCTTTTTGTGCTTTCTTGTTTGCACAGACATTGATATTCTCCAAGGTTGTCTTCAGCTTTATTTCCTCCTCTTCTCATCCTGCAAAGCCTCCATAAGTAATCTCACCAACACCCACAACTTCAGCCACCTCTTCCATGCTCATCGCTCCTGAACTTTGGGGCTTCGTTCTCTTCCAAGACACAGTTATAGAATTGCCAGCTGATCATCACACTTACGAAACACCATGGGTCCTACAAACTCACTCTGTCACACTGTCCAAACCAGAATATTTGTTCATTTATAAAATGGTGGGCAGTGTCCCCTTTCTGTGATCATGAGTGCTGTGTACACTACTAAAATTAGGTAAGTCAAAAGGCTGCTTCATAACTGTGGAAGTAAAAAGAGAGGTGCAGTCTAGATGCTGTTGTGGCCAGGTCAGTTTGAGGTCTTATGAACCATTCTTGTTTCCCATCAGGCTAACTCTGGCTATTTCTCCAGATTGTTTACTCTGTCTGCCTTGGATAGTGCTGAACATGTTCTATAGACATTTGGCTTTCCGAGCCCTGCTTTTTTTTTCCTTTGGTGCATTCAACTCCACTAGTCAGAAAGTTACTCCAGTGGGATGAGGATACTCTCCATCCCCCTGATTTCTGTAGTTAACCCTAAAGATACTTAGCTTGCTTGTCTAAATTAACAGGGAGAGTCCTTTCACTGTACCCCAGTTTATCACCTCCAATGTGAAACAAATGATTATGGGTTTGGGGGTTGTTGGGGTGTTTTTTGTTTGTTTGTTGGTGTTTTATTGAGGGGGTTGGGTTTTTTTGTGGTACTGAGGATTGAACCCAGAGGTGCTGTACCACTGAGTTATATCCCCATCCCTTTTGTTTGATTTTTTGAGATGGGGTCTTGCCAAACAGAAGGGGCTGGCCTCAAAGTTACAACAATCCTGCCTCAGTCTCCTGAGTCACTGGGATTATAGGCATGAGCCACCATACCCACTGAAACAAAAAACTGATTGTTTGAAAAATAGGAAATTCTCCAAAACAGATATGATGACAAAATCATTTTAGAAATATAGTTTTTTTAAGAAAACATTGTTTTATGTAAACACAAGTCAAAATGAATGTTTCTATACTATTGATAGGGTTTATTTTTTTGCTACTATGGATTGAATCCAGAGCCTCATGCATACTAGACAAGCACTATACCACTGAGCTACATCCCCAACCCTGTGTTGAGTATTCTTTGTGTGTGCTAGGGGTAGAGTATTGGGGCTTGAACCCAGGGGTTCCCTACCACTGAGCTACATCCACAGCCCTATTTATTTTGAGACAGGGGCTTGGTATATTGCTCAGGCTTGCCTTGAACTTATGATCCTCACCACCATGTCCTGCTTTAGTATTCCTTTTATGCATCTATTTTTTTAAATTGTACACAGATAAAATGCCTTTATTTATTTTTATGTGGTGCTGAGGATTGAACCCAGTGTCTCACACATGCTAGGCAAGTGCTCTGACCACTGAGCTACAACTCCAGCCCCGTGCTTTAGTATTCTTTTTAAAAATATTTTTTAGTTGTAGTTGGACACATACCTTATTTATTTATTTATTTTTATGTGGTGCTAAGAATCGAACCTAGCCCCTCGCACATCCTAGGCATGTGCTCTAATGCTGAGCCACAACCCCAGCCCCTGCTTTAGTATTCTTAATATTCAATATGTGATACTTTTTCAGAGTGTTGAATTGTGGGGTGACTGTTACACATGAGGTCCCTTTGGGTAGAAAATATTTCTTGGTGAGCTTTTTTATAGCATGCCTATTCTGATGAAATAATAGCATTTATTGAATGTTAGCTACATTATCTCAACTTCACAACCCCGGGAGAACACATAGGTCTTGTTATTATCTCAGTGCACAAATGGGGAAACATTTGGAGGTTTAAAGACATGCCCAAGGTCATACAGCAGAGCTGAGATTGGATGCTAACATGCTGTTAATCATGTTTCTTCTTTTTGTTACCACTGAGATACATGGTGAAAGAGGGGAGGTTCCCATAGCCAGAGTGCCCATTTTCCATCTCTATCAGGGTTCTGAGATACTGTCTTGATAATAAATTTGTGGCAGTCATCCACCTGGGCAGACTTGCAGGATTTTCATTTTCCACAAACTTTTTTTTTTAAGAGAGAGAGAGAATTTTTTTAATATTTATTTTTTAGTTCTCGGTGGACACAACATCTTTGTTGGTATGTGGTACTGAGGATCGAACCCGGGCCGCACGCATGCCAGGCGAGTGCACTACCGCTTGAGCCACATCCCCAGCCCCACAAACTATTTTTAACTGGTGAGATTAATCTAAATGTAACTGCTGTACTGAGATGAATCGGGTGTCCAAGTATTACAAGTACATGCTTTTTCTTTGTAGGTTAGACACATTCTATGTGAAAAACACAGCAAAATCATGGAAGCCATGGAAAAATTAAAGTCTGGAATGAGATTCAATGAAGTGGCCACACAATATAGTGAAGATAAAGCCAGGCAAGGGGTATGTTGCTTTTATTTAAAATTTTCTGGCCTCCACAGAGCAAACACAAAAGCAAGGATTATTTCTTAATTTCTTCTATTAATTTTATTTAGATCTTGGTTTAAAGATCTTAAGCACAAAAATGTCCAATTTCTGGGCCTGTGGTTGTAGCTTAGCTACAGCATGTACTTAGCATGCACAGAGGCCCTGGGTTTGATCCCCAGTACTACTGGGAAAAAAAAAAAAAAGAAGTCCAAATGTCCAACTTGTGAAGAGTTGAATAAGAGTTTCCTATGTCTAACCCTGGCATGACCAAACTTGCACAGCTAACTTCAGAGCCTAGCAATATTATGAGTGCTTGTGTGTTCAGTCTAGATTTAGACTTCTACTTATTTGTTCTCATTTAAATAACTCCTACATAACCCAGATGAATAAACGTAGTAGGGGGGATGGGAACGGAAAAGAAAGTAGAATGAATTAGATATAACTTTTCTATGTTCATGTATGAATACACAAGTGTAACTCCACATCATGGGAAGTTATATTCCATATATGTATGATATATCAAAATACTTTTGTACTGTCATATATAACTAAAAAGAACAAATAATTTTTTAAAATATTTATTTTTTAGTTGTAGTTGGATACGATATCTTTTAATTAATTAATTTATTTTTATATGGTGCTGAGGATCGAACCAGGGCCTTGCCCATGCTAAGTGAGCCACAACCCTAGCCCCAAGAACAAATAATTTTTAAAAACCTAGTAACTTTATGCTTCATGTTGAGAAATTCTTTCAAGCTACTGTAGAACTGTTTCCTTTTCAGGGCCATTTGGTATCATATATCTTTTGGATTTTTCAGGGTGACTTGGGCTGGATGACAAGAGGGTCAATGGTTGGACCATTTCAAGAAGCAGCATTTGCCTTGCCTGTAAGTGGGATGGATAAACCTGTGTTTACAGACCCACCAGTTAAGACAAAATTTGGATATCATATTATTATGGTTGAAGGGAGAAAATAAAATCATATGAAAAAAGAGTAAGTCTTATACATTTTATTTCTTTAAAGGTAATTAATAATCCTTGTATTTTATGAAATGTCAGTGTGGGTTTGTAGAAACAAAATAGGATGGGTATATAGTGTATACTACACTCAGTATTCAGTCAGTAATTCTCAGAAGGTAAGTCAAGTGTAATACTTTTAACCTGTATTTACATTCCTCCCAGAATGACTTTACCTCTCAGTGTATCCTGTAAATTTATTCAGAAATCATCTTCACGGGAGTTAAATCTCAGGTCACACTATTCATGCAACTGAAAATATTGGGCATTGAACGGATGAATTCGTAAATGGGGATCATGCAGGAAGTTCCTGGACAAAACTCCTTTACAATTTAGTAAACTGATCTACCAGGACAGGTATTATTAACTCCATTGTCAGTACATGGCACATTTAGCCACTCAACATTAACTCTTTTAATTTTTTTCTATTGTATTTATTTAGCAGCATACACAATGCTAGTTTGACTTTGAATGTTGTCCACTGTCTCTTAGCTTTCACCTATTGGTGAAGAAGCTAAATTGCCTTGTCTGTGGAACATAATCTTCCCCAAACCTTCTTTCTTTTTAAATAAACATCTATTTGTGGGGAAAAGGCACTTAGTTCTTCCATTGGTTATTTTTACTAGACTAAGCCATTCACCAAATGCTAGATAATGGGACAAATATCAGCATGAAAACAGCATTCCCTCAACCTCAGTGTATGGATTACATTCTGACTCTCCTTTCTAGGACCAAAATTCTATAGATATATAGTTTTAAATTTTAAAATGCCATATTTGAGCTGGGCATGGTGTGCATGCCTGTAATCCCAGTAGCTTGGGAGGTTCCAGAGGATCATAAGTTCAGAGACATCCTTAGCAAGTTCAAAGACATCCTTAGCAACTTAGGGAGGCCCTAACCAACTAGTGAGACCCTGTGTCAAAATTAAAAAAAAAAAAAAAAGGGCTGGGGATATAGTTCAGAGATAAAGAGCCCCTCTGAGCTAAATCTCCAAAACCTCCCCACCTTAAATAAATAAAATGCCATATTTGTATCACTCAAAAAAAGTATAAAAAATAATAATAAAATACTACTTCAAAAATGAAACTTTGTCCAGACAACCAGATGATTCTTTTTTTTTTTTCGCTTTGTTTTGTTTCAGTACTGGGCATTGAACTCAAGTGCTCTACCATTGAGCCACATCCCCAGCCTTTTTCTTTTTTGAGATAGGTCCTAAGTTGCTGAGGCTATCCTTGAACTTGTCATTCTCCTGCCTCAACCTCTCCAGTAACTGGAATTATAGGCATGGAACACCATGCCCAGCTATAATGTGATTCTTCTTTTTATTTATTTATTTTTACAACTATGTGATTCTTAACAGCAATTCTTTTTTCTTTCTTTTTGCACTACTGGAGATTAGATTTCCAGGGTTGTATACATGCTCAATCACTGAGCTACACCCCCCGCACCAAGAGCGATACAAATTTTTTTTTTTTTTTTTTTTTTGGCACTATTGGGACTGTTTGAACTCAGGGGCACTGAACCTCTGAACTGCATCCCAAGCCCATTTTATTTTTTATTTTATTTTGAGACTGTGTCACTAAGTTGCTGAGGCTGGCTTTGAATTTGTAATCCTCCTGCTTCGATTTCCCAAATTACTGGGATTAGAGGCATGTATCACCATGTCCAGCATCAATAGCATTTCTTTTCACACACTGCATTCTCTCCCTCGCTTACATCTGATGTTATCCTTACATTATCCCAACTTATATATAATGGCAATTTAACCTAGAGACCAAAGTTTCCCATTTTAAAAGTTTCTGAGCAACCCATCAGCTTTATGCCTACATGAGATTTTCCCCACTGAGTAGGTATACCAATATGATATAGAGATGTTCAAATAGTAGGCAAAGAAACTACTTGAATATGTAGTTTCAAATAAAAGAAACTATCTTAAAAACGACGTAAAGCCAAGTATGATGGTACATGCCTATAATCCCAGCTACTTGAGAAGTTGAGGCAGGAGAATTATACTTGGAGGTCAGCCCTGGCAACTTGTCAAAACCCTCCCTCAAAATAAAAAGGACTGAGGGTGTTGCTCCATGATAGAACACTCCTGAATTTAATCCCTAGTATGCAAAAAAAAAAAAAATTAAATGGGGTTGTATCTCAGTGGTAAAGTGCTTGTCTAGCATGTTGAGGCTGTAGGTTTGATCATCAGCACTGCAAAAAAAAAAAAAAAAAAGCCAGGCATGGTGACTCACACCTATAATTCCAGTTGCTTATGAGGCTGAGACAGGAGGAACACAGACAAGGCCAGCCAGGGCAAATTAGCAAGAACCTGTCCTAAAATTTGAAAAGGCTAAGGATGTAGTTCATTTGTAGAGTGTGTGCTGGATTTCATTCCTAGCAGTACAAAAAAGGTTACAGATGTAAAAATACACAGACACACACACATACTGCTTTTGATTATACACAGACTGTCTCTGGAAGTGGCAATCCTCAACTGGGAATTGAGAGGAGAGGGTAAGAGGGTTTTTCCTTCATAGCCTTAGATCAGGGGTTTTAAATTTTTGGTGCCATAGAGCCATTTGTCAGTTTGCCCATGTTTATGGATCCTTTCTCAGAATATTGATCAAATGCATAAAGTAAAATACATAGACTGGGCATGGTGGTGCACCCCTGAAAGCCCAGCTACTTGGGAGGCTGAGGCAGAAGGATCCCAAGTTTTAGGCCAGCCTGGGCAACTTAAGGAGACCCTGTTTCAAAATAAAAAGGCTAAGAATGCAACTCAGTGGTAGAATGCCTGTGGGGTCGGTCTTCAGTACTGTAAAATAAATAGATTTATAAAAGGGCTGGGATGTAGCACCATGGTAGAACACAACCTGGGTTCAATACCCAGTATCACAAAACAAATAAATACATAGGACTATGTATTTACTTAAAAGGATGCCAACTACAATGAAATACAGTAATTGAAAATTTTAAAATTATAATACATGCCTAGGTGTGCTGACAGACACCTGTAATCCCAACAACTCAGGAGACTGAGACAGGAAGATTGACAAGTTGTAGGCCAGCTTTAGCAATTTAGCAGTACCTTGTCACAAAAAAAAAAAAGGATTGGGGAATGTATCCCAGTGATAAAGCAACTGTTGGTTCAATACCCAATACTACTACTACTACTAAAATTTGTAATATGTGTATTTATGCCTTTTATTAGGTAATTTCTAATAAGTCTAAAAACTACTGTTTCTTTGTTGTTGTTTTGGTGATAGAGATAAAATTCAGAGCCTCTGCACATGCTAAACACATACTACACACTCTGACTGAGCAACATCCCCAGCTCCAACCAGTGATTTTATAGTGATAAATATGTTATGGGCCAGGCTATATGGGCAATGACCAAACAGACTCCATCTTACCCTGAGACTCCACTTCATGTAAAAACTGCTTCTCCCATGGGAAAGTCCTGCCTCTGTACCCATCAATAGTTGCTTAGCATAGCATGTTTGGCAATACAAAATGACAATTCTCATACATTGTAAAATTGTTCTCTCTTTGGTTCCCATTTTTTGGACAATATACCCTGTCAGACATTGATTGTCTAGATGTTAGTAACCATTCTTTAACTTGTACTCAACTAGGGACATTTTGACCCACTCCCCTCTTCTGCTTATGATTTTAGATCTCATGATGTTTGTTTATGGTTTTGAATCACAGCAATAGCTATTATGATTAATATGGTTTTGGACTATAAAAGGTGTACTCAATCCCCAGGAGGGGGTCAAAGGGTGTAGAGTTGCAGCCTACCCCTTTGGACTGCCAGCTGGTGGATCTTGACTACCGGCTGGTGAATAAAGTTTCCGTCTCCTGCTTTAAGATCGACTTGCAATCTCACCTTAACAAATATCAATATTTATTTGACATATCTGCAACAATTATGAAGTCAATTTGATTTCTATTAGTGATGAAGTCACAAGTATTACTAATACTTGTTGCCTACATTCATAAAAAAAAGGAAATGCTAAATTCCAGATACATAGTAGTGGGGGAAAGATATAACTTTTTCCCCCAAATTCAGACACCTAAATTCTATCCATGAACTCCTGGGGTAAAAATCCCTGTCATGGATATTTTGAATATTTTACCATGTGTATTTTTCCCCAAACAAAAATTGTCATAGTACACAAATAGAGCATTTTGATGGGCTGGATGTGTTTGCCTAGCCATACACAAGACCATGGGTTCATCTCCAACAGTACCAAAATTGGGTTTTTTTTGCATTTTCAGTGAGAAATACACCTAAAATTTAAGCCTAATATATTGTTCAGATCAAATGGATATAGGCTCCTTCAGTTACTTCAGGGAATGTAAAAACTCCTGGGTGATTTGTTTTGTACATCAGGAAAGAGGAATTTATGAGCTGAATTTCCACATTTGTATGCTTGATGAATGGATTGAAAAAGATGTAAGGTGCAGATCTTCACCTGCATCATGGTGGGAAAATGCACAGGGAAACAGTGATCTGGACTTAGATGCAGCCTGTGAATTGCTGATTCACAAAGTGTTAAGTTAATATTTTCAAAATTAGCCAGAAATGGTGGCACAAACCTATAATCCCAGCAAATCAGGAGGCTGAGGCAAAAGTATTACAAGCTCAAGTTCAGCCTCAGCAATTTAGCAAGGACCTAAACAACTTGGTGAGACCCTATCTCAAAAAAGAAAAAAAAATGCTGGGGATAGCAGCTGGGATTGTGGCTCAGTGATGGAGCATTTACCTGGCATGTGTGAGGCACTGAATTTGATTCTTAGCACCATGTATAAATAAATAAAATGTCCATCAACAACTAAAAAAAAAAAAATTAAAAAGTGCTTGGGATACAGCTGAGTGGTGAAATACCCCTCCATTCAATCCCCAATACAAAATATATATACATATATATTTTCAAAAATAACATTCAATCACATTACTAATATATTAGTAGTAATTGC